GCTTCCAAGGTGAGGCTTAATGGTTTGGGCACTACTTTGTTATATAGATGAACATTTTTCATCCATCTACTAGTTAAAAGACCTATTGTGGATGGACAAAGCATTGTAGTGCTGGGAGACATTGCATCGCTAAGTCCACTAATCTCCCATGCTAGGATTAGATGGTAAAATAAATGTGATTACCAGTAACAATAGTAAGCTCCAAAATAATCTTTCTATATTACTAGGTAACTTTATTGATGCTCTAATGATGTATATTAGAATTTAGAAGTTCCCAATTTTTTAATTGTCATATTTGTATAAAACACTTAGTTCTATATATTAATGTCATAGGTCTTTCTTACCTCTTTTATATTTTTTGCACATCTTATAAAACAGGGTATAGTTTGTATTATAATTGTTTTTTTTTTATTAATACAACTATGCTTTCTATATACAAAAAAAATTCTATTTTAGAAATGGTATTAGTTGGTGGATTTGTTGGTGGGAAGCCGTGAACGAAAACACTGATACAGCGTATACTTCTTTAGTGTTTTAAGGTGTTTGGAATTGCTCTAAAGTATTGTAGTTGTAATTATGGCTGTGACTGTATTTATAACTGAAAATTATTATAGTGTTTAGTTATTTATTTTTTAAAAGTATTATTGATGAAATATAATAGATTTTATTAATTATTAATTGAAATTTAAAAAATATTGGAAGATATATAATTATTAAAATACATAATATTTTTTTTTAATAATTTAGATTTTTTAAATTTGTTATTATTATTAAAATATTATAAATTATGATATAATTAAATTATAAGAAATTAGATTTTAATAGGTAATTTTATAATTATATTAAATATTATGTGTTCTCTATAAAAATCATGGTCAAAAAGTTTCAAAATAATATTTTTAATTTTATATATAAAATTAATGTAGATTTGCTATAATTTTTTACTGTTTTTTTAAAAAATAATCTAAAAAAATATTATCAAATACACATAAATTTAAAAGTAACATACAATAAAAAGTTTCCAGCCACAATCCGAAGGCACCCTTTAAATAACTTGATGCTTTGAAGGTTAGTAGCAGAAAAGGAGAAGAGTTGGAGGTTGAAAGGGGTACTTCAACCAAGAGATAAGGGATTATTGTAAGAGTATTTAATTTCAATTTATTTTTTTTTAGTTCTGCATTGATGGTGAAATCGATTAAAATAAAAATTATTTACTAATCCTTAATTTTGAAATAGATGGAATGGTAAAAAAGTAATTTAATATAAAAAAAATCTAATCCTATTCATCTAATAAAGTTTCTTAATTTTATCTTTATATTTTTGTAATTCGATAAAAATATAATCATTATTCCAACCGAATCAGCCAAATCTAATTCGATTTTTTTCTTGTACTTTAAATCTTTTTTTTTTTTTTGAACTATCGTAAATTCGTAGTTGTGAGCAATGGGGCTTGGGAAGGTTCGAACCTCCCACAAGAAAAGTGGCTTCTGCTGCTTCCCCAAAGGTGAGGAGGTCTTTGTGCCTTAGCATTACGTCCATTCTTCGTAATATTTTTACTTTTAATTTTGCTTTCATTTTTGGCTAAATAATTTTTTATTCCTTTGAATATGGTGAGGAAAGAGTTTTTCCAAAGTTTCTTTTGATCTTATATGGTTCTGTTTTTTTATTAGTTTTGCAGTTTTTTTTTAGGGATTTTTAATTTAAGTGTAATAAATACATTTTTTGTTATAAATTTATATTAAAAAATATTAATTTTTAATTTATTAATTACGTATTTAAATTCATTTATTTGATATTAATATTAAAATTATTACTAATTTTTACATTTTTTATATATATTTATCATAAAAAATATATTTAAAAATACAAATTAAAAAAACTTTTTAGATTAACTTTCCCTCTGGAGCTCTGTTTCCATGACTCTAGATATAACTCAACATCTAAACCGTAAAATATCTCTTATTTCTTTGAAATATATCAAATGAGTCCATGTACCAACCCCAACAAAGTGTTAGTGCACGCAATAGTGCCTAAGACTAAGGACACACTTGAACAATGTGCATGCAATAGAGCCTGGCTAAGACTAAGGACAAATTTCTTGATTGAGAAAGAAAATCAATCTAACATGCCTTTTTTTTTATCAGAACCATTATAACATGCTTAAAAAGTGAAAAGTGGCACTTCTCTATATTGATTTTGTAGTGCACTGAAAATGTGTCAATTTCATACTTCATTGCGCAGAGCTTTGCACAGAGCATGCGTTTTCTTCTTTTACCAAAATTTCAATAAATTGGCATTTGCCTTTTTTTCAAAAAAAAAAAAAAATCAATGCAATTGGGAAAAGGAAAATGTTTTTTTTTTTTTTTACAATATTAACTGATAATAAAATCTCACAATATGAGATGACAGAAAATTTTGTTGGATCTTTTAATTCAAGGTGGGATATGTGAATTGGTATGTAATTCACTCGCATACAAATATTATAAAATTTATAATGAATTTAATCATAAAAAAATCACAACTGGTTGGACAATCCAGTTGCATGCAAAGCAAGTTGAATATATAGCGTTGGAAATGTGATCTAAGCTAAGGAGTGGCGGCTTAATTTTCAAGTTGGTTAGCTTTTCACTTTATTGATGAAGGTTTAATTTTATAAGAAAGTTAATGACAAGGTAAATAATCCAATTTTGACTAAATAGGAAAAAATTAGTCACAAGATACGTACAAATTAATTAAAAAATACCTTGACTAGTAAATTAAAAAAAAATGGAAATGTGTGCTTTAGAGCAAGTTTAGAAGGTTTGATACAAATAAGGACACAATCTTTTAAAAATTTTCTAATTAATGGTATAGCGTTTTTTATTATTAATTAAGGCTATCATCTTTCAAAATTTTCAAAAACAAAGATATAACCTTTGTGATTTTACTAATACAAGAAATGAATGCAAAGGTTGTACATATTTTTTATTAGAAATTTTTGAAAAATAGTAGTCTTGATTAGTAAAGAAAAAACCTCATATCCTTTTTAAGAAATTTTTGAAAGGTTATACTCATATTCATATTTGTAACAAATCTCCAAATTTAGAGTATGAAGTTGCTTTTTTTTTTTTTAATGCATATATAATATGAGGCAATCATCTTTTACCTTTTAATTAAGTACAATCATATATCATATTATTCAAATCTATGACTTATTACTTTCCCTAAAAGTAGATTATTACTGCATTTTCCAAGTACAAAGTTTAGTCTTAATTAATTGGAAGGGGATAAGTAATTGCTACTCCTATCATTAATTGGACAGACATTATCACATAAATGGAGTCTGTAAAAATTTACGATTACAAGGATAATATAATATATAGATATATATAGCTAGTACAAACACAAAAATGCAAAATCAGATAAAAAAAACACAAAATACAAAACCTACAAATTCTAAATTGCAGTTATTATCCCATAGAAGGTGCTTTGATATGACTGCCACCATCCATACCATAACATGCAGCAAAGCAGTGGAAATAGATGCATTTGCCCTGTTTTTCTGTTCGTTATCTAAAGCCCTATGCGAACTGTGTCATGTCTTCCTTTCATGACCGTAAAAAGGCTATGAAAACAGAAACCAGTAGCTAAGAGTAATTATCATCCAAGGAGTTTATGGTAAGCATTCAAAATGAATAGGACCTGCCACTTTGAACAGTTATAAGGCAAAATTGAGGAGTTTCCTTAATTTGACCAATTAAGAGTAGCCTTTACTCCTAATCAAACAAATGCTCTGTGTGGTTTTTTTTTTTTTTTAAAGTTGCACAAACAAAAAAAAAAAAACTTTTTTCATCTCTTGACCTTATCTCACTCACATGACATATTATTAGAAATCATGATCACATATTTTCATCAAACAAAAATTATTTTAAGTTAGAATTCACTTTGTAAGTGTATAGAATGATTTTGTTTCTTGGCAACCTAGAACCGATGCCAAAAAGGGGTTTTATTAAGTTAATTAATCAATCACCACAGGGTAAATACCATGATTACCAACATATGGTCTCTGAAAAGATGATTAATTTGATCTCCGTTTTTGTGTTAATACATGAGTAAAATATAATTACTGTTTGAGGTTGGGGAGTTTAAAGCATTTGTGTTGTCTCTCTTTATGGTAGTGCTCCGATCCCACTAATGGATTTGGCCAAAAAATTTCAACGTCCCCTAAAAGTGCTTTTTATCATTTGATTTCATGTGTAGGCCACTCACTAAATCACCCACTGTGCTTCTCTCTACCTAATTTGACTTAGAAAAGATGGTGAAAACCGAAATATGATGAGGACTAAACGAACTGTGGTGTGTTTTGGTACCACGGATAAAGAAATTTAGGAGAATGATGTTTGAGCTCTCCCCACTACATATTGTCAAAGCACAAGATGGTTGATGTAGTCATTCATGAAAATGAACTCTACTTCTCTCCACTATTTGATACATATACAGGTGGAATGGAAAAAATAGACTTCCAATTCTCTTTTTGGCTTTGATCAAAATCGTATGTAGTATGATACAAGGTTTCTATAATCTCGTTTTAGAGGTGATCGAAATTTAAATTTTTTTCTTTTTTTCTTTTATGAGAAGTATGGATGTACCGATTAAAAAATAAGATGGTTAGAAGCTGGCTTTACGGATGTGATTACCCTGCAACTCATGACAATCGTAGCAGTAATTTTTTTACCTTATAGCTTTGATACTGCCTCTAAGGCTATTTTTTTTTTTTTTATTTTGATTGCACAATGAAAAACAATCATTTTTTATCCTTTATCTCACCCCACTTGCATATCATATGACTTAAACTCTGAACCTTTTACTTCTAACAGAAGAAAATAACTATTAAATTACTTAAGTTGTTATCGCCTTTAAGGTTATTACTATTTAATGATTTCAAGTAATTGTTGACTCCTAGTACTTAATTGGCTAGATTCAAAATAGGACACCTTTTCACTGTTAGTGCTGTATATTTAGCTTCTATTGGCCACCTGTAACTTTGGTGAGAATTCAGTGTTTCTCTAGCTATATGAAATCTATCATAAATTTTGTTAGATGTACTGTAACACTTTATCAATGAATTTATGTTTATTTCACAAAAAAAGAAAAGAAAAAAAAAAGAAAAGAAAACAAAAGAAAAAGAGCTTGTTACAAAGTACCAATACCTATAGGATATTGAAGCACTGAACAACAGGATAAGTTGCACTAGTAGTGGGGAGAAATAGCTAACAGCATGAGGTCATGTATCTACACCAAACCTTGATAAAGTTGTAAGAAGTAGAAAAAGAAAAATTCAAACATTTTATATTAACAAGAATTTGATCAAGTTGATATTTATTAATTTTAAAATTTTTATCTAAACTCAAAATTACGAGTTCAAATTCCTATGATATCAACCGACTGGTACTTCCTTTCACTAATATTTATTGTAGACTAAACCATCCAAAACATAACAAAGAACAGCACCCCAAAAACTTATTAAACCTCTTCCACCTAAGCTCCTCTATCTACACACTACTCTCCATTTCGTCCAAAACTGTCCTGCCAACCTAACGATCATAGCTCTTTACCACATTCCCAAGTCACTGCTTTTCTTTTCTTCTTTTCTTGTTGGTAGGGAACTGGTTTGATATATACTTTCTACAATTGAAATATGAAACAATGGGCACGATCAAACAAAGAAAAAGTCTCAAATAGCTAAGTTGAATGTGGAACGTACAAACAAAGTGGTTCATGAATTGAAGAAAAACAATGGGCTTCAAAGTAAAAAATGGATAAAAACAAAGAGGCACAGGGGAAACAATGAGACACTAAAGTATTAGAGAACATGATGATGAGTTGGGCAAATTTAATTTGTTTAGATAGCGGATCTGAGGGGAGAAGAAAAGCAGATTGACTTATGAAAAGATCGATCCAAAAGGTCATAAACAAAATCTGATAATCAATAAAAGGCAAGCTGAAATAAATGGTTTATGCAGTTTGAGCCATGCAAAGGGGTATTTGCTTGTTCCACATGCATAAAATTATACTTTTTTTTTTTAACTCGTTTTCTTTTTCCTTTTTATGTTTTCGTGTATGAAAGAAATAAACAAATAAACAGTGCAGTTGACTTTTTTGTAGGGAGGTGTTTGTTTGTGGGCAAAAAAGGAGTAAATGCAACTCATCATGATTCTGTTGCTATTAGGGGTGGACCATCACAACATTGCTCTCAAATTCGCCACAATACCCTCTACACCACCAATATTTAAACCCCATCTCACTCACCCTCTCAAACCCTCCGCTAAAGCCATCTGCTCATATAGCACATAGTTTTCCAATACAGGATTCTGCCATGGCTGTTGCCCTCAAGACCTTTGTTCTGCTTTCCATCTTGCTTATCATTCCTTTGTTATCATCAGGTTTACATTTTCCTGAGCTAAAGTTCATTTTTTTTGCAAATGCTCATAAACAATTAGTGAGAAACTCAGGTTTTCATTGCAGGAAGAGTCGAACAAAGTTTCAAGTCCCAGGTTCGAATCCCTCCACCCATAACGATCGAAAATGAGAGTATGCACTGTCGTAAGTATGATCCCAGGTTCAATCTGAAGTGCGGAATCAGGGTGACGAATCAAAGGAAGCTGTTGGTGCCAGTGCTGGATTATGATGACACGGGGCCCAATCCTAAGCATGATCCTAGGAAGAAACCTCCCGGCCACCCCTAAACTAATTGAGTATTATATAGAAACTATATATTTCTATTTCCAGAGGCCGGTTTTGATCCTGTATTAGAAGAGCACCATGGCATTATAAACAAGCTCGTTCAGTAATAATAAATAAGATATGGTAGAATCCAACTAGTGGGTGAACTAAGTTGATAAAAGAATATATAATTGCAATATTGTATTAGTTCTAGATATATTCATGTGTATGTTGTGTGTGTACTTCCTTAATTTGGTTATCTACTCAATATCACTTCTTAGATATATCAACTATAACAATAAATTGACTTTTCCTAAACGAAATCAACAAAAGACAACTGGGATTGAGAGATAATATATATGCTTGATTTACCTTTTTTGTATATTTGCAACTATTTACAAACACACTGTAGAGATGGAGTCGTCAAACCAGTAATTTTTGAAGGCTTCCAGTTTGTTCTTTACTACAGAATCAATCTATGAAGCAATTTCTGGCTCATCATTTCTGAACCATTAATTCAATAAATAGCAAGAAAAGAAGAAATGTATCTATACCGTCAGGAGTGACTGAATTAATATCGCAAAAAATATCATTTCATGTATTATTCTCAATTGTATAATCAAAGTGCTAAAGTAACATGATCAATGTAAACAAGGAGGAGATCATATACAGTTTCTCGCATTAAATTGCCAGCATCAAAAGTTAGAGTCTCTTCGGCAATTCTCTTTGTATGGTGAAACTGGAGAGACACAACAGTACAGTTCATATATCTAAATTAAGTTTTTCTACTTTCTAATGATCGCATTCATTGACTAGCACCCTTGAATTTCAGTCCAACAATTATTTTTATTATATTTACTTGCCCAAAGTTTAATAGTTCTCCATATAACGAAAATGCTTACTTTAGCAACGGAACTCCTTCACCAAAATAATCAGAAGAAATAGACTGCAGAAGAACCATTTTTTACTTTGTTTTATGGAGTTTCTCAAAAGCTTAAACATTGAATCGTTAGGCGTTAAAGACAACTACAGTAATTAGTATTACCCTTCAAAGATTATTCAGAGTTGCCTAAAGCGAAAGCATCAATGATGCCAACCATATGTACAGTGATATCATCTATAATATAAAACAAAAATTGTGAAATCTATGTACGTATGTACTTTGATCATATCCATGTCGGTCGAAATCATAAAGAAAGCAGGGATGACATCCATATTCCAAGGGCCACAATACCTATAGTAGCCAAAGCCTGTCCCAATTTATAAACAAAATTTTGTTGCTTAATGGGCAAATTCTTCCAGTTTGTTCGCCTGTGGAAATTAAAACCAAGACAGAACAGTATGGTAAGAATGATCTTACAACTTAATAAATAAGAAGGAGCATAATGATTAACACAATCAGGAGAAGAGAGACGGGATGAATCAGAGGGACATGCAGGACCAGTTAGCTATGGATGTCAAGGTGCTTTTCTTTTCTCTTTTCCCGAATTCCCAATTAAAGGTGGAGGTGACAAGACTGGTCTAATAAGAATGTGTCATTCTTTCTTCTTCTCCATCTTGCATCGAATTATTCAGTGAAGAGGTTATGTCCAGCGGCAAGAAAGGTTTATTGTCAGGCACCCAGCACATTTTCTACATTGTTCTGTTTGAGAAAATTTAACAAGAAAAATGAAATTATATGTTTCACAGATAACGGAATCAGAAATTCGACAGCTTCCACTGACAGGGAAAAATAGAATGAAAAGCCTATATGCAAGAACACTTCTCCTTTGGAGAGTCTCAATGTATTATGAGTGTGGAAGTAACAGCTAGAATTTCCAAATTAGGTCATCATTTTATCTGAAAGCCAGTTCAGAGCAAGGTCACAAAAACCTTTTGAGATGGGAAAGGACTTACAGCAGTAAAAGCAATATAATTTAACAAGATCATCAATGTTGTATACACCAATCAACCTGAACTCTGCAAAATAACAGCAAAACATAAATGAGGTGCATACCCTAAATCGGCAATCACAATACTAATATTATCTTGTGAACGCCATTCCTGCACAAGTTATGATTCTGAAGTCAATAAAACTTGTGCTATGAACATATAACTACGTGAATTGTCTGAAACAAATCTCTCATGTAATTGATTACCAAAGCAGCTTGCCCAAGGGCTTCACATGTTAGCTGAAATCAGAACAAGAGGAAAATTAAAACCACACCCAGGTCACAAGATCATCTAAAGCATAAGCATAGGATAAAAGCTGAATAGATTGTTGCTGCTATAAAAAGTAATGTTCACTAAAATATGATTGCCCACCTGAACATCTCCATGTTGTCGAAGCTGATTACTAACAAAAGTAACTACTTCTGAGCTGTAAAGGAAAAGCTAATCATTTGAATTTGATATTCTTCTAAGTGGGAAAAATTCTATTTATATCACAATAAGAGTCAAAATGATAGCCCAAACCCGTTCATGTAATCCCATAAACCATCAGATGCCAATAGCAAAAATTCTACATCTGACCCAAGAGTTACTTTGAAAACATCTGGAGATGCAATGACAAAGTCCTTATTGAACTGTATTCTGGAATAACATAAAATTTTTACAATTGTAAAATATCATAAATTTCAAACAGGTTCACTTGAATATTGTGCTTCAATTAGAAACAAATACTTTGTACTTTGAGAGGTCAATGAACTGTTTAGTTATGCTCCTTAATCAGAATCACACATATTGAGAAATATATTTTTCTGACCATCTTCCTTCCTCAACTCCCTTATTTAACATCCTGCATGTAAAACATATCAACTCATATGATATGATAATATAAGATATGTATAGCACATATAAACTCTCATTATGTGTTAAAAAAAGAAAGTAATAAGGAAAAGAACTAAACTCATTCTTCTTTGTTTTGAACTGCATGTCACCAAACCTATTGTCATCACATGTAAATGTTATCAGCTGCCATGTATGGTAAGTTGAATAATTAAACTTCCACAAGGCACTAAATCTAATGTCTAATGAAGTCTTGATAAATTTTAGGAGTATGAGGACTCATATTAGAATATCACCAAAGACACTAAAATTAATGTATCAATGATAATTATTCTGATTCAATATCAAAGGCATACTCAGGCCAAAAAAATATCAAAGCAATTAAAAAGAAAAAAAAAAGGTGTAATTGGAGTGCCAATTATACATGAATAAGGTATGTCACTAAAAGCTCAGTGAGATTGTTTGATAGTGTATTCTGAAGCAAAGGGCACAATGGGGATATGCAGAGGTTCTAAATTCCAGCTTACCTTGTTTAGTTCAAGTTTCTACCTTGAAATCAAAGAATATAGCAAACCAACATTATCTTCAGTTCAACTATATCCATCCATCTATGATGCATATACTCTCATGGCACTTTCTGGTGGTAACCCTCTAATCCCCTTTTCTCATTTCCCTTTCTTATCAAAGAAAATAGGAAGTAGAATAGAGAAGAAAAATGCATGTCAAAAGCAAAATCAAGAACATGAAAACACACTCATCCACTTGCTTCTCTTATTCTTCTGATTTCTTGAAGAGAACCCTTATTGCTTCCATATGGTCTATGAGACTCAGTTAATGCTTCTGCTTTTCCAGATCTAGATAAAACCTGCAGCAAAATTTCAGTTCGGAAAATAATAAGAAGATTCATGTAAGACTTGAAAGTTTAATCCTGTTATGTTCAATTTGATTCTGAAACAGTTAACATGGGAGAATTTAGATATTTTTAGACAGCTATACCAACCCTTCTATACTGTTCCAATTTGAATTACTTAAGCTTCTTCACAATGAAGTAGCAAGGTCAAATGACAGATATATTCTCAAAAACCTCAAAGTAACAATTACATTGTGGGCAAAAGAGGAATACAGGGAAGTGCACATACCAAAGACTAGTCACAGACATGTGAAACATACAGCAAATTATTTCCAATGAACACAACAGTGGCAGTTGAACCAGATTCTTCTTCTTCTTCAGAAGTTCCAAGCCTTTACAAAATGAAAAACCATCTAAACCTTCAACCAATAACATAGAAATCTACAATCAGGTCTACCCCCAAAAAAAAAAAAGAAGAAGAAAAGAAAAGAAAAGAAAAGAAAAATGCCTAGCCTAAGTCATCTACTAGCTCACCAATTCAACAATTTGCTATCAGCATTTTCAAATGCCTCCTTCAATGCTATCCTAATGATGCTCCAATCATCTCCTTTCAAGAGCGAACCTCCGTCTAAAGCCACGACACACTCCCTATACAGTTCATGCCTACGCGTTACAGAACTTCATATGATTTCCTTCTGTTTTATTCAAAGCAAGAACTCGTACAATTCGTGAAAACAAATAACGAAAGGAAATAATTAGCAAAAGGAATTTCCTCATTTAAACCAAGCCTAAGGAACTTGACGGAAGAGAAGCCGGCATGACCGCAAAAACAGCTGCGAAGGAGAATCCATCGAGACCGTCCGATCGGATCACCAAAATCGTCCTCCATCTCCTCGCGCGGGCCTTGCAAGGACGTGGACCCCCAGCGAATCCCGGAAACGTCCGAGAAGTAAGACGGCGCGTCGAATGCAATCGCGGAGCATCGGCAGTGAGTTTTGGCTGTGGCAGAAGTGAGGAAGTGGCTTCGGTTGGGGGCTTTTGGCATTGTTGCAGCCGGAATTAATCCCGGTTGCGAGGAATCTCTGCAACTGAGGACTCGGTAATGCCATTGATTGATCGACTCAGTGAGTTGAGACGCAGATTCAGAACGAGTCCAGAATTCGAGAGGAAGGAATGTCAAGTGATTCTGCAAGCACCGCGGCTTCTAACTGATTTTAACGGATTGTATATTTGTATTCTCTGTGGTTATGGGCTGGATCTTCCACAGGTGGAA